ACCCTCACCCTAAAAAAACCCAAGACCCTGAACCCTGAACCCCCAAAGCCCTGAACCCTAAACCCCCAAACCCCTGCACCCTTCACCCTGAACCGAATCACCCTCAGGTCCCGGCTTTCAGCAGCTTTGACGGCCTCTGAGCGTTCCTCCGAGGAGGCAGGCCGGCTAGCGACGTAAGGTCCTAAAGTCCAAGAGCCCTAACAGAGAGGCTTTGGGTTTAGGGTTTAGGGTTGAGAGGCCTGAAAGATGCCTGAAGAGCGAGTAAGACTTGCTTTTATAATAACAAATAAGGAAAGAGGTCACAAAAAATCAGATAGATAAATAAGAACATAACTCAACATATACATATATATATATATGTATATATATATATATATGTATATATATTTGTGCTGACCCTTGCTGATGCAAATCTAAAGTATCCTTCCTTGACGGGTCCCAGGTCAGACAACAGTACACCAGGCAGACAGCGCGCGGCGGGCCGAGCTGGGTGTTGGAGATTCTTGCGGACAAGCGGATGAACGCTGCGTAGAAGGGGCCAGCCTATCGAGGACTCCTGTTCCTGTGGCTGGCGCTTCTTCCCTTTGCATTGCCAAGCCAACTTGGAGTGGTGCTCTTAGAGTTGCAGAGCAGATGCGAATCTGCGGCAGGTCAGGTGCAAGTTCGAAGATGCCAAACCGCTCAAACTGTAAAGTTTACGACCCTGAAGCCTCAAGACTCTATCCCCTAAGACCCTTAAGCTCTGGAGCCTGGACATTTAAACCCCACACCCTAAGACCCTGAACCCGTAAACAGACTCTTTCCTGTGCATCATGTTTGTGCCTGGGGGTGCTCTAGGTAGAGAAGACCTACAACTTTCGTCCCCGGCATTATTATTCGGCTTAGGTTGGCGCAGTCCTCAGCCATCAGCTCATTGCCTTCGGCTTGCTCGGTGTCTCGGCGAAAGGGAGAAGCTGTCACGGCGATACTGCTGCCACTCGTACCACCAGCAGCACAGCGACGACGACGACGACTACTTCTCTACTACACTGCCACCACCACCATCACGACCACCTCCGGACCACTGCCTCTACCACTACCATTAAGCCGACGACTAGTACTCCTTGTGCTCCTGCTAATGCTACTGCTCTTCCTTCTCCTACTGCCACTATGCCACTGCCGCTGTGGCTACTGCTACTGCTACTGCTACTGCTACCGCTACGTCGACTGCTGCTGCTGCCGCTGGTACTGCTTTTGCTTCTATCACTATCCATAGTCGGAAGATAATAGAAAGATTATCGGTCACACTTTCAATAGTCATCTAACAGCTTTGGAAGCCCCACAAGGCTGCTGGTTCGTGTCTACATCTCCCATACGGCTGATGGACAAAATCCTGCATGACCTTATATACCTAAACTATGGGATTTATGGTACTATGCTATATGGGTGTTTCAGAAAATAGGGGACCCTAATATAGTACCCTAAATAGTAGGATCCTTATAAGGACCCCCAAATAAGGTACCCCGCTATATTTGGGTCATGCAGGATTGTGTCCATCAACCGTATCATGTCCGCAGCAAGGCATCGAAGATGTTGGAATTCAGCTGGAGGACCGCTTTGCCCACAGACACACGGCTGTTGCTGCTGTTGATGTTGTTGTTGTTGATGGGTATGGCGAAGGGGTGCTATGACTGTCCTTACTTTGATGATGAAGGATGACTAGTCCTTTGTGGTTGTTGCTGCGATCGCCTTGCCGTAGTTGTGACTGGCATAACTTTAATACTTCATATGATTGCCAGCCTCAGAACCCTGATTGCCGCGACTATTGCTGCTGGTGTTGCTGCTCGATGCCAGGAGCCCTTTAAGGTCTTGCCACTGGAAGGGCCCTGTGCGAAGCTGGCTGCAGAGTGCCAGGCCGACGCCACGTGCAAGAAGGTATAGGACTAATCTTTGTAATGGTTGCCCCTTGCAGCCCTTTATAACCATAGTAGATTATATTCCAAAGCCGTAGTCTAATGATTGGTGTCCTGCAGTCAACTGCTGTGAACCTATTGCCGGGTTGCGCGATTCGAGGCTGTTGGGCTCAGGTGTTCCATGGCCTCGGGGTGCTGATGGTCGTGTTTATTCGGGGGGACGCAAGACCTCGATGTGATAAAATCATAGTGGTCATGGTCTCTAAGACCCTAAAACACCCTAAACCCTCAACCCTGAACCCTCAACCCTCCATAGAGTTTCATGAGTATCTGTCTCTCTCTCTCTCTGTATATATATATATATATGTATGTTGTATCTATCTATCCATGTACCCGTCTGAATCTATCCATCCATCTATCTGTCTATCTGTCCATCTATCTATCCATCTATCTATCTCCAGGTTGGAAGGCCCGTGTCCGTAGAGCCCTTGCCACTGCCCTACGCCGCGAGAAGTGGCAAGCTGCTGTTAAGCAACATGCGGGGCTTCGGGTTCGCCAGGCCTGCAGACTCGGTGCCCCCCGTCCCAATCTCAACGAAATACACGACGATAGGCCGGGTTGCGAGAGAAGTGCCTGCTGCCAGGCCGTCTTTTCTTGCCTAGGGGACTACGCAACCAATGTCCGGCTTTGCCGTCACTTGCGGCACTCCCACAACTGCTGTCGCCACTTGTGTGGGAACCTCCATTCAAAGTCTCCTGCTCCTGGTCTGGGGAGCCGAAAGGCACCCAAGGAAGATCGTCATTGCGCTCCGCCCTACAGGTAGGGGCCGACTCCTGGCCGGGCGGAGCGTGCACTTGACGATGACCTGGACCGACCGTCACCGCAGGTGCTCGATTGCCTTGCACAGCTTGGTTATGACGGGAAGGTGGGGGAGTTGTCCCCCAAGAGTGCCTTCGGCTGTCCTGTTCCTGTGTTTGCCTCCCGACTTGTCGGCTTCGCTTGACCGCCGAGACATGGCGTGCTCAACTTGCCAGCAGTGCAGGGTCAGATCGGGGGAGGCCACAGCCTGTACCGCAGGCAGCAGCGGAGTGGGTTTGCAAAGCCGATTTTGCCGCATGGCTTGTGCCGGATCCACAAGGCAAGTCAGCCAGGCTTGACACCTTCCGCCACGGCGTTACCTCTCTCGGACGGCTTGATCTTCACCTCGTGCAAATGCCCGCACCAGCCGCCTGGACCACAGAGCATGTGCTTGTGCTTGTTTCTGAGCCCCCAGCTGAGTATAACAGTCTACTCGCTGGAACTTCGCAGCTGTGTTTTTAGCATGATGAGTCTCTTCACCGCTTGAGCAATGGCCAATCCGTGGAGTTTCTGACCGAGCCGGCCAATGAGTTTGGATTTTACCTCAGCCTAGTTGACTGCCCCGTGCCTTTCGCTTCGGCGACTGCCAGGCCCAAAGATTTCGAACTATCGTTGCTTGCTTTGCGACTTGCCTGCGACATAGTTCGGCTTTCTCTCCGACTTTGGGGCCAGGGCATCAGAACCTGTCTGATTGTCCCCACGAATGTAGGTCTCCTGGCCTCCTCATCAGGACTGTAGGCAGTGCTTTGGAATGGACCGACGATGTCCCTTGTCCTTTGCTTTCACCTTGATTTGCATGCCAAAGACCTGCGTCGAATAGACTCTTCGCCCGAAACAGTGAAACAGTGACCTATCTGTCTCTCTATGTATGTTCTCTATGTATGTTCATGGTATACTACATCCCAAAACCTTATTCAAATCCCACGGTGCTCTGCTCCGAAAGCTTTGAACTTTGGAACCATTGCAGGCCTTGCGTGTGAGCTGGCGCAGGCTGTTCTTGTCGGTCTGGGGGGTTCAGGGTCTTGTTCAGGGTGGGTTAGGATCTGGGTTTGGGGTTTAGGGTGTAGGGTTGAGGGTTGGTTGGGATCCCTTTCTACTCAAGGGGGCGGGTCACGCTTATCAGGACTTCGTAAGGCTGTAAGGCGACCCATTTTCAAAGCCTGCGTGGGTTTTGCAAAAGAGTCTTTTGCGTGGCCCGCCCAATTCGTGCACAAAGAGCTGGATAGCAAGGACAAGTCAACTCGACATGACCTCGGCTGCACCTTGTGCAGGATGCATAGAGGCTCCGAGGACGAGAAAGCCCATCTCAGATTTGGCCGGGTTGCCTGGGTTTGCACGGTGCTGTGTTGAATTGGTCCTGCATTTTCAGAAAGGCAGTAGCCTTCAACGCGAAGTGTTGAGGTGATGGCAAGCAGGACAAGCCTCTCGGAGGAAGTGAGTCAGTGTCTTGAGTTACAGTGGGCACCCACCAATCCAAGGCCCAAGCCGAACGGTGACCAGGAAGTGATCAGACTCTGAAGCTGGAAGCTGCAGCTCTCACCGATCACATGAAGGTCGCGCCTTCGCTCACGGTGCCACTGCACGATTTGAGGGTCTGCCGGTCGGCCGTCCCAGCCCCACGAGCAGCGCTGCCGGAACGGCGGAGGTCTTGTCCTGTGAGAACCTCGAGCTCCGCGACGCCACTGGGGTGGACGGAAGGAAGTAGCAGGTCGTGCTCAGAAAGGGCCCTGGCACTGGGCCAGAGTTTCAGCCCTTCCTGGGGCTTCAAAGAGGCACCAGCAGCAACAGGGGATGCTGAAGGTGCGGTTCCAAAACGTACTAAGTACTATCATCAGCGGAAGGAAAAGTTCACCTGCCGGCTTCCATAGGAGCGCTTCGAATGACCGCGTGCCCAACTCTCCTAGATTTATTTACGCCGGAACCCTCAATCTAGGGGGCGCCGAAGCCGCCAACCTGGCGTCGGCCTCTGGAATTACACAGCTTCCGAGGTCTGTGAGCCCTTGCCCTTGCCGCCGTAGCACATTATGATCATAACATTGTATCGACGAGCATGTATTGCTTGGGGGCATACTTGTGGTACTTTCTAGCCTCCAGCTTTACGGCTGTGGGTTAAAGTTAAGCAGAAGATCACGCACTGGCTGCGAACGGCGCTCCGAGTGCAATGTACGGAGTTGGATACACTCGTGATTTGTGATGCCGTATAGCTGCCTGTGCAGCACCAGCACGAAGAAAAGTAGCCACAGTACTCCAACCCTGACTTTACGCACCGTAGATGTAGCGCCCCCCCAGCCCTAAGCCCAAAATCCAAAGCCCAAAACCCGACCCCTAACCCTAAATCCCAAACTCCCTGACCTCAAAACCTCCAGAATCCAGCCTAAGCGCAACGATGATCCGATGCTGCGCGCTTGGGCTTTCTTGCTCCTTGGTCTTGCGACTGCTGCTCCGCGAATACTCCTCTCACGGCCGCGAAAGCAAGCAGGACAGAGCCGAAGAGCGGGGTGTTGAGGGTTAGAAGGATTCTGAAAGCCGGAAATCCTAAAGTTTAGCGTCCAGGTACTGTATGTGTAGATTTATGGATCGGATGAAGTCGAAAAGCTAATTCCTTAGCTTCAGATGCTATGCTCGTTCGGATGCCTTCCCTTTGCCAGACGCGAGCTACTACCCCTTCCGCCAGCTCTTGGATTGCGTCGTGGCAGCAATGCGCACCAAGAAGCAGGCCAGTTCAAGTTGAAGCATCTTCTCCAACCCTAGGCCGTAAGTCCTAAATGACCCTGAACCCCGCTCCTTCCAAGGTGATGGCGCGAACTTCAGCAGCAGCTGGGGCGAGTTCCGGGTGAGCGTCGCGGAGAATGCCAGACAAGGCAGGCTGACTTGAGGATCCCAGCGACATGAATAAACCGCATCGTATTCACCATCAAAAGCAAGTACGGAATAATGACAGCTACAGCCATAACAGCAGTAATAAGTCGTACCTAAGTAGTACCACGCATAGAACATAGGAAAACTTGCGACAACAGCAGCAGTTCTCCCGCTCCCACTGCCGGTGCCGCTTCGGCTGCTGCTCCTGCTGCTGCCCCTGGTGCTACTGCTGCTGATGATACTACTACTGCCCTGCTACTGCTGCTCTTGCTGCTACTGCTGCTACTACTACTACTACTACTACTACTACTACTACTGCTACAACGACTACTACGACTACTACGACGACGACGACGACGACGACTACTACTACTACTACTACTGCTACTACTACAACACTACTGCTACTACTGCTACTGCACTACTGCTACTGCATGCTACTGCTACCACGACTACGACGACTACGACTGCTACGACCACGACTACGGCAACGACTACTACTATAAGGTCGGCAGTAACGACAACGGCAACAGTGGTAGTGGCACGAAAACCAAGACAAATGCTGATGGTCAGAAAGATGGGACAACTAGTAGCAACATCAATCATATTATCACTAATAGTGCAGCATGCGAAGTCTAAGCCGGTTACGAACATGGATCGGGTGGAGCGTTCAATCTGCACTGCGATAGAGGATTGGCTGTCCGGGATGGTTCCTCATGGGACAGTACAACGCTTTCGAAGCTTTAGTGAGTACACTTGCGAATGGATGTTCTGTCTGCATGCATCTTGGTGCGTTCATGAAGAAGGTACGTGGTCGGTGTGTGAATAAATAACATAAGGTCATACAGCCGCGTCGAAATCAGAACACTGGCACACACGCAGATATTGGCACCAACATGCATATACATATATGTACGTGCATGCATGTGTAGGTGTATATATGTGTGTATATCTATAGACATGCATACATACTTGCATACATAGTACATACAGGCATGAATGCATGCATACATACATACATAATACATACAGACATGCATACATCATTGCATACATACATACATACATACATACATACATACATACATACATACACCTTTTTGTATCATGAATGTATCTTCGTAAAACGGCCACTCATCTGTTCATCCATATGCACACCCATATCCATACCCACATGCATATCCGTGTCCAAATCCGTATCTGCATCCACATCCATCCATCCATCCACCCATCCATCCATCCATCGAGCCAGCCATCCATCCATCCATCGAGCCAGCCATCCAGCCAGCGACACGAGAGCACATTCAATAAGTCCTTCCTTCCTTTCTTCATCTATTTCTTCCTTCGGTCGTTGGTTGGGTCATGCAAGATCAACAATGAGACTCCGTGCGCTTTTGAGAGTTGCCATCTGGCAGAGGCTTTGTGACGGACGAGCGGCTCCTGGACATGGCAAAGCGCATCCACACGGCTTGGGAGGAGGACCGCCTGGGCTTGTTTTTGGCTTCGTTTGGGGTTTACTGGCTGCTCCATGGAATCCGGTGGAAGAGCAAAAGAAAGCCTTGAGCAGTCTGCAGCGAAGATGGGCTACAACTGAACTGCTGGTTCCAGCCTGCTCCGGTAGAACTCTTAGCGTCTTAGTGCCCGTCTCCAAGCGCCAGGGTGCCTGCCATGTCCTTGTCGCACCTAGCCCTTGCTGCAGCTCTCCTTTCGACCGTGGCTCGGGGCGATGATCCGTGCTTTGAGTCATCGCGCTCGCGGCTGTCGAAGCTCATGAACTCCACGGGCAGCCGAAATTCGAGCATCTCTTGTGCGCAAGGACGCCGTCCAGTTCACCAGGTTCGGATGTACCGCCACTGCGTGCGATCAACAAGCACCAAGGTGAAGGGAGACAATCCGGATTACACTCATCTCCAAAACTATACAGACTTGCCCATGCCTGATTGGAACACCCCGTTGAAGTGGTGCACCGCGCAGGGAGCTGTACTCATTGAGAGGGAAGGGCAGAAGCTGAAGCAGCAAGAGCCGATGATGGAAGTTTCGAAGTTCAGGGTTCTCGTGGACAGCGTCCAACGCGATGCCACGACTGCAAACTCCCTACTTCAGGGTCTGGCTGGCAAGGGCGAGGTCTACACGGCAAATGTTGAGTACTATCCACTGCTCTTCAATGCGGTTGTCCCCCACACTGGTGCAGGAGTTTGCCGTGGTCCTGACGCAGAGATTGTCACGGCGCAGAGGCAGCAACGCCTGGACACGACCCCGATGCCCATGGGCATCGGTCCTGCTCACAGCATGAACCAGACACGGTATGGGGAAGTGCTGGACTTTTTTGAGAATCTCTTTGGCGTTGGTTCTGCAGGTCCACTGAGGAATCTGACCAACCCACCGATCATTGACAACAAGACAGGCGAGCTGATGGGAGCGGCCATCGTGCTGAAGTTCTTGGCAGAGAACCTGTTGTTTGCTTATGCATCCGGCATTCCACACCCGACTCACACACCGGTAAGCCAGGAGCAGATACTCGAGCTTGCTTCCTGGATCGACTGGCAGCGCAGGGTCACCGCAGTGCCTGCTTTTCTCACGCCGCAGAAAGCTTGTGGTGCCCTCTCTATCATTACGGCTCTGCTGGATAAGTCCAGGCACAGAAACGTCATCCACGTGGGGCATGACACTGACCTTGATGCCTTGGCAGACTTCTTCCAAATTGCATGGCGGGCACCTCCCTACCCGGCATCGACGACCACGCCGCCGGGTTCGTCACTCGCGTTTACCCCGCGAGGGGACAACACGGCCTCCGTGCATTTCACCTACCAAGTCTTTGACTCGACGAACGACCCTGAAGTGAAGGTCGTCCCGACCGTTCCTTCCCAGGTGGACTTGCTCGAAGTCCAGGCTTTCATCGAGAAGCAGATCATGGAGTTTGCAGGTGGGGACTGCCTCCAAAGCTGCAAGAGACTGGTCGCGAAGCTGTGATG